CAACTACAAAGACTCTATATCTCAACTTGTACGTTGATGCTGATCCTGCCCATGCTGAGAAGGGGAGAATGCGGTTGGTCTATTGTTCGACCAATGAAATGGCTACAGATTTCCTCACCAAGAAGCTGACACGTCAGAAGTTCCAGTACTGCAACGAACTCTGCGGAATTATCAAGAAGTGACGCTATCGGACTTCCAGAAATTAAGGGGAGTGTTGTGATAAAATCGTACTTAAGTATTTTTGTAAGTGGTTCCGATAGATATTATCAAATTATACTGTAGTTAGCATCCGTAGAATGACGTCAGCAAATAGCGCTCGTCTGGATGGTTACGTTAGCAGGCCGTTTAGTCACGCGAGCAGTCGCGCTCCTTTTAGTAGCGATTAGAGCGCATACCGCAAATAGTTTTGAACATGTACATTACCGAACAGGTACTTCTAGCAGATATAAGAGTAGCTTGTATGATTTCAATTATCAACCTGTTCTTGAGTAAATTCACGTCTTATGAAGTAGGATCAGAATCAGAAACGCGAAATCCATTTGTGATCCCTTTGCCCGGTCCATTATGCGAAGATCATAAACGAGGGCAGCCCTTTCAGCGTTGCACAAGGATGTCCGATTGGCTGCCCCTACAAACTTATTCGTCACAGCCCTAAACGAATGCCAAACAAGCACAGCGCAGCAAAAGCGCGCCGACGCGCGACGTGCAGCGAGGCGAAGCAGAAAAATCCGAAAATTCACGTAAAGCACGTAACGGGGACAAAAATTCCATTGCTTGTGATTGGAGCGCATGTTTCCCCAGTCCGATTCGGCATGGCGAAGATTTTGAGACTGTCAACCTGCGTGGTCAAGTCTGGGCAGTCGCGGAGATGTTTTGTGTTGTACGCAAGGGTGTGCACGTCGGATCATGCGAGGCATCCTTTTTTGCACGTGAAACTCACTTGCAATAGTTTTACAGGATTGTGGATCTGCACGTTGTAAAATGGTAGGATTAGAAACATGATTGATTCCGATCCTACTTTGTAGGAATTCGCCCTAAGACTTCCGCTGTCTTTCTAGTCTACCATTCCAACAAAGATCCTTGTTCAAGTCTTGAAGTATCACAAGGCTGTAACACTGATTCTGGTGTTACAACTTGTTAATTGTTATGAATGGGACTGCCGAGTAGTGCGGAGGGCAATGGCGAAACTGTGAATGAGTGAATGACAATAAAATGAAAGACAACACAATATATAGAAAACCTAGGGTGATCCTGGACGTAGGAACGGAAGGTTCGGGAAAAGTGTCGAAGGGCCTCGATGTGTCGAAGCAAGGTCCGGAAAGGCCCAGGAGGCTCGAACTGAAAGTTCTGGAACCCAATCGCTGGTTCGGGACTGTTCGAGTCGTACGCCCTGTAGCAAGCCTCAGTAAGGAATTACTCATTCCTTATACTCTCCCCCCTTCTAGATAAGCACACAAATAGACAAAACTACACACACTCTAACTGAATCTTGTAGTAGTGAAGCCACCACTATTGAGAATCTCGAGCTTCTTCAAGGAAACTCCATCCAACGGTCGAAACACGTCAAAACGATCGCCGTCGATCGTAGCCGTCGAATCTTGGTCGAATTACCCAGATAACCAAACGGGCAATAGGGATACTACCGCACCACAGCTTCATTGTCTCCAGCTAGTCCTTCGCTGAGAATTACTAACCCCGTTAGCGTGTACTATATCCGCACAATAACACTACGTTATTCACGCTGCTGCAAGTTGGCGAGCCGAATCTTCTGCATAGCGCCAAACTTGTACGTAGTTCCACAACTGTAGATCACTCCTTGTTGAACTCCTCGTGAGTCATGACACTCGCAGAAACACGCGTCCGTATTTCGCTAAATCAACAAACTCCAGCAATTCGTCAAATGCGAGGTCATTCGCGACACATGCGAGAACACGCGTCCGTGTCTCACGAAATTTTGCGAATTCCATCAGCACATGGACGAAAGCACAATCAGTCTAGTAAGTGTATTCGATGTCACCTCAGGCTGTTAATTCAAACACACCTTCAACTTTCGCCAACTCCTGCGAAAATCCAAAAAGGCCAACTCGAATTTGTCCATCGATTCATTCGGTCGAACAGCATCTATCCGTCAATGCTCATGCAGCGGATGCCAAATTTCGAGGGAAAATCCAAAAAACAACTGCTGCACAGCTGCTCTCTCCCCCCTCCATGAAAAGAAAATCCTCTGTCGTCGATGCCAAAATTTCCCTGCTTCAAGTTTCTTCAGACCCGAAACTTTGAAATGTCTTCAAACTCTGCTCGTCGGGACCAGTCTCGGACCGACCCTATAACGTAGGGCAGCTGTGCCACATAGACTCTAGCTGCATCCAATGCCGTAGATAAATATTCAGCTTCTCAACTGCTGCCGATCTGCTTCATGTAAATTCCGAAACTCCCCCTGACCGGTTCGCCGTGCAGACGTTCACCCATCGCACGGCTACGGCAGGTACCCCAGAAAAACTCAGGTACAGTTCTCAGCTACAAAAAGCGCATTCTCTGCAGTTTTACTGACTAACCATGCTAGTATTTAAACCATCGCACAGCTCGGTAGGTACCCGTGACCCCAGCTACCGCTCCAGCCAAAAACTTGAAGAATTCCCATCCGGAAAATACCCGACGTTAAGCGACGCGCCGACGTTCACCCATCATTTCGCCATTCCAGGTAAATCCACGAATGAGTCCTCGCAGCTGAGTCGTTGATTATAGCCCCACAACTCAGGAATAATCCGTAAAGACTCTCGCGTGACTCCAAATTTTCCGTGACGGCAACACGTTTTTCCCACTGCACCAGTAACCCGCTCCATTTGATGAATACTCTCTAGAGCAGGGGTGAATCCGTCGTATGCCCGTACTTAGGTAAGCGCAAACGCTATCGTAGTTGGGCGAATTAATCAGTCTAATTCGCGGGCAACCACTTTGCAACCTACGTGAGGGATTCTCCTTCCCCTCCCTGAAAAAACCGTATCGGCAAAAATGTGCTCCAAGCTGCTGCAATTTCTTCAACTGGTGCTTCTCGAGTAAAACCCCCCGTAGGCCGCTGTTCACCCAGCGCCCACGTTCGTCCTTCTCAAAATAGTACCACGTACGTTCATTCGAAAAGATCGCAACTCCGTCGATTTCAGCGACAAATCCTCGCCGTTCATATCGGACTCTAGCTCCGCGTACCGTCCGATCTCCGTCGCCAAAAACCTTCTCTTTTTTCATTAACCAGCTTCACGCGCCTCCCACTGTACAGCGTCCGATTTTCACAAATCGTTCGCCAGTCGTGTAGCACCGAAAACATTTCGATCCACCAGCGCAGGGTGATCCGCAAGCTCATCCTCCTTTATTCGTCCGGGAGCGGTCGATAGCATGTATCGTACTACCACCCGGTGGAGATGCTGAAAATCGAGCGACCCAGCCAAGTCAGTCGGGGGATCCGTCCGCCGTTGACTCCGTAAAATTTCCTGGCTGTTCCCAATCGTTCTCCTTCTCTGCGTCAGCTCTTCGTCGTTGACTTTTAGCGGGTGACCCGGTGATGACACTTAAACTCAACCTGAGGGTAGTTTCTGGTCGTCCTCCGTAGATCGTGGAGTGTAATTTCTGACCACAAAAATGGCTTCCTCTGCGGGAATCCAGACTCGCCGAGTTTGAAACTCCAGGGCAGACGAATTACACCTCTAGGCGGGCAGGTAACGAGAAACAATTTCAAGGTCAGTACTCCTCGAAACTCTTCCGTGCCTGAGCCCCACGTGTGCTGCCGTGCGATCCTCGGTCGTGCCGAAAACTCCAACGCAACGTTGCTGAACAGTATCCGAAGTCCCGTCTTCACCTGCGTGTCACCTGCCGGAAACGCCGAGCCCTTTGACATCAGCTACACTTCTCCATGCAGCCACGTCTGCTACACGCGCTCTTGACAAAATTCTCTTCGCCTGGGGATAATCGCGAGCTTGTCGTCTCGTGACGAGCTCCTCGCTCCATTCGGAAACCAATCCGAATCGTCGTTGCCGCTTGCCGAAATTTTCAAAACTGCAACCAAAAACTCCTTTAACGATATGCGAAATGAACAGCATACCGGAAACACTCTTCAAAATGTTCGCCATGTCCGGACGGACACAACCGCCCTCGAGGGGATGGCTCTCGCCCCCCCCAAAAAAACAACTTTATGCCCTCGGAAGCCCAGTGGGTGAGGAAAGTGGCCGAGTAGTGCTATGAATGGGACTGCCGAGTAGTGCGGAGGGCAATGGCGAAACTGTGAACGAGTGAATGACAATAAAATGAAAGACAACACAATATATAGAAAACCGATGGTGATCCTGGACGTAGGATCGGAAGGTTCGGGAAAGGTATCGAAGGGCCTCGATGTGTCGAAGTGAGGCCCGGAAAGGCCCAGGAGGCTGAACTGAAAGGTCTGGAACCCAATCGCTGGTTCGAGACTGTTTGAGTCGTACGCCCTGTAGCAAGCCTCAGTAAGGAATTTCTCATTCCTTACATTAATACTGGTTGTTAGTGGAGGTACTTCCACTATTACTTTCTACTTCAAGTACTTGTGGTTGCAGATTCTATACTTAGTCTCCTGCACCACTTTTCAATTTCTTTCACTTACGACGGATCTCGCATACTTGGAGCTAGGCTGACGCAACAAGACTAGAGAGCCAGATCTACTAATCACGAATTCCCAATCACGTGACTCGACCACATTGTACCACGTAATTATTTGTCTAAAACACGCTAGAACCGCCTTTGAGATCATTGTACCATTCTCACCGTTCGAACGGTGCTCCGTTCGTGATCGTATGTCATGCCCTGATGAAAACTTGCAGAAGGGTTGTAACAAGTAGAACGCATCTTTCCAGCAGAAACGATATTTGCGAAATCAGCAGTCACACGTAGCGAAAGGAAAACAGCGACTCATGCGGCGATCGTCGAGATTCGCTCATGCAGTCTTCGATCAGGGACCGGGATGGATATTTTTCGCTTCCAGTGTCGTAGCATGGTGTAACCTCAGTTCGCGAACTCGCGTGGTTAGCAGAGAGGTGCTTTTCAACTTCGTGGATTTTTTCGCTAGAACGAGTAGAAAGGGAAATTAGACGCTGGATAAGCCTTACTGTTCGTTTCCCCGACTTAGTCACACTTACCCCAGCGCAGTCAACCTTTTTTAGGTTCAAACTCAGCGGCATCAGACTTTTTGTTCAATCTGATGCCGCACGGCAAATGTTTTCGCCACGTGTCCCATTTCTGCCGGTGTGCTACCCCCATGAACACAGACACCAGACTCCACTGTTTCTTTTGTTTGGTCCAACCGGCCGATCTTCTTGGAGGGTGACACGAGATTCGAATTTCTACTGTTACAGATTACGATTCTCCGCCTTGATGCGCTACTGTTCCCCAAGTCCCTCTCCCGTCGACCACCCTTCCAATCGTGCATCGCAACTGTGCATTCAGTACACTAGGCATCGAGGACTACAATCATAAGCCACATGGGAGACCCGCTAAAAGAACATAAAAGAGTATGGGGCTTACAAGGTTTAACGGTGTATACAACAACATAAGATAAAACAACATAGAGCTAAACAAGGAGTGTTGGTGTTAATTCACGAAAATGTAACAACAGTGCTAATACGGTTTAACAATGTATTGCAACAAAACCTCATCTGTTCGAGGCTAGTGATAGGAGTGAGGGTGCAAGCCCGGAAAGCTGATGAGCATATCCATGTTGCGGCCAGATAAATGACGAAGTGCTTCAAAGTTCGCATAAACAAGTGATGATAAAGTTGCTTAATGTACGCATGCTTGCTGCCATTTCAGGGTATTAGACTTCTAACTAATATGCTGCCTAAAAAAAGGGGATTTATTCAAATTGTAGTAGACTTTGTCGTGCTTGTGGTAGAACCGAAAGAATTAAGAAGCAGGGATGGAGGAAAAAAATGAGAAGGGAGAGAGGTTGAGAGGTTGACACAGAGAGAGAGAGAGAGAGAGAGAGAGAGAGAGAGAGAGAGAGAGAGAGAGAGAGAGAGAGAGAGAGAGAGATATATATATATAAAAAGATAGAGGGAGGGAGGGAGAGAGAGAGAGAGAGAGAGAGAGAGAGAGAGAGAGAGAGAGAGAGAGAGAGAGAGAGAGAGAGAGAGAGAGAGAAAGAGCGAGAGAGAGATAGAGAGAGAGATAGAGAGAGAGAGAGAGAGAGAGAGAGAGAGAGAGAGAGAGAGAGAGAGAGAGAGAGAGAAAGAGAGAGAGAGAGATAGAGAGAGAGAGAGAGAGAGAGAGAGAGAGAGAGAGAGAGAGAGAGAGAGAGAGAGAGAGAGAGAGAGAGCCCCTTGAAGTCGGGGCACCCTTGTAATATTTTGAAATGCATGAAGTGAGCAGGATTGCAATTTAGGGGCAGCAGGGTTGAGTGAAACGTCGGAAAACGTGGAAAATGCGAGCGAAAGCGACTGCGACAAACTCCAGCGATCCTTCCGTGAAACCACGGGCGACGTGGAACTCGGGCGTGTTCTGCGCACTAGTGAAATGCACGGTTTCGCCAAGAGGTCACACGATGGTGCACCCGAACTGTACCTTACTAAGATGCGAGATCAGTGGCTCAAAACCTGACTCCGGGCTTTGAAACACCCCCTGACGCGATACCCTTGGACTGCGGAAAATGGTGCACATGTGACTTGACATTGCATACTCATAATTGAGTGAGAAATCAAAGAATGGTTTTTCTTTTCCAGAATAGTCTTGCATGGGACAGCACAGGTGAAGGCCCATTACGTCAAATTATGAATTGAAGTACAAAACGTCAACATAAATGTTACATACATACACATACTTCTTTGGGCTTGGTATGGTAGGGGTTCTACAAAGTACATGATCCTACTGTAGAGAGGACAACCCACTTTCTTGTACCTCTCTCTCATGTCTAGTCATCTCTCGCTACTTAGCTAAACGCTACTTCCCTACTTCAATCTAAAAGTGATTAAATACAACCACCCGAAAGTGCAGGCTCTTGGGTTTAGCCACCATAGGCAATAACTGGCATAGTAAACCATCTCTCCCAACCTTGTTGACGTACAAAGGGGACCGTGGGCATGTGGGGGGCTGCACTTGAAGTAGGGAGGCGGAGGGCCTGCACGCGCATAAAGGGATTTGAAAGGGAGGCAGGGAAGACCGGGACGGGAGGCAGGGAAAAACAGGAAGCATGGAAGAACGAGAGGCAGGGAAGAACTGGCGGCAGGGAGGAACGGGTGGCACGGAGAAATGGGCGGCAGGGAAAAACGGGCGCCAGGGAAGAACGGGAGGCAGGGAAGAACGGGAGGCAGGGAAGAACGGGAGGGGTGGAAGAGTGGGAGGCATGGGGCAATGGGAAGAAGGGTGCAGTGGAAGGCATGGTAGATAGAGAGGCACAGGTGAACTGCCAGTCTGACCTTCCCCTCACTCCCTTCTCCCTCCCGAGCCCTATCCCTCTTCCTACTAACCTCCTCTCCCAGCCATATCCCTCCTGAGCCCATCTCTCTCCCCATCCCTTTCCCCCACTCTGCCAACTCTCTCCCAGCTCCATCCCCATCTCTCCATCCTCCCACTCTGCCCTATCCCCCCCTCTTCTCCCTCCCAGCCCTATTCCTCACTGCCTTCTCACTCTCCCCTGTCTCCCTCCCATCCCTATCCCTCTCTCCCTTCTCCCCCCCATCCCTATCCCTCTCTCCCACCTCCCTAACAACAATCCCTCACTCCCTTCCCCCCCCATCCCTATCCCCCTCTCTCCCTCCTGCTCCCTCCCAGCCCTATCGCCCTCTGTCATTTCTACCACTCAACCATATCCCCCTCTGCCTTCTCCGTCGCGTCCCTATCCCTCTCTCCCATCTTCCTACCATCGTTCCTTCTCGATTCAGGTTTTCGTTGTGTTTATATTTTGTTCCCAGCCAAAAGCAGGAAAATTTACTGCCAGCCAGAAAATACAAATTTCAAGTGAGCCCCTGCCTTGAGTTTTTAGCCAGGGGCTTAAAAAACGGATGTCCAAGGAGGTCTACTTAGGTCTAATTGTCGCAACTTGTCGCGACCCGGAGCTTGACAAGCTTGGAGACATGTTCGGAGGTATAGAGAAGGCAATCCAGTGGAGCATTGGAGAAACGCATCTACAAGTGGCTTAAGGTTGGGGGCGGAGGCGGGGGGGGGAGGAGGGGGGATGGAAGTTGGGGAGAATCACATCATCTGCCCCATTAGTTTAAAACCCTTGGAAGTGTTGCTGCTGCTCCTGGTTCGCCTGTCACATAACTTAAAGAAACTGGCCCAGCCACTCATTTTGTGAAGTCACCACCGTCGCTTGTTGTGCAACTCTACATGCTGCTGCTGTGCCATCTGCTGGTGTGTGCGTTTCTGGAGGTTTTCCCTTCTCTGTAACATCCGCCTCTGTCGACAAGCCCGTTGATGCTCTTGTCTTTGTTGTTGCTGCAGCTGCTGTTCCGGTGACATGGTTGTCGGAGCCTGTTGGGAATGCTGTATCTCTCTGTGAGAATGACCCCCTAAACCGGTTACTGGTGGTTGCTCCACTCTGCTGACTGATGGGGGCTGGGAGGGTGCACCCGCGCTTGGCGCCTGCCCTCGAGTCTCACTGCCCAGGGGTGATGGGCGTGCGGGTCCATGGTTTGGCTGTCGACTATCAGGCATCTGCTCTTCTGCTTCTCCCCCTCCACTCTCCTGGTGTGCAGCCCCATTTTCCGCATCCAATTCCACTTGTGGCGGCATCTGTCGCTGCTGCCCAATCCGCGACAACCTATAAAGACGCTCTCTTACTACATCCTCAACACTCTTGGGCTGAACCCTAGCATGGTTGGTATAGGCACGCCCACCGTTCCGGTCGCTTCCCCTGCTGCTGCTGCTCCTGCTCCACCTCTCTGCAGGCCATCCCCTACACCACCCAGGCGCTCCTCTGTGTTTCCGGCCTCCCCCACTTGCACGTAGCTAGACTCACGTTGAACCACTGGTAGCGTGCGCGGAAAACATTCGACCAATGCTGCATCATTCCCCAGGTCACCCCCGCTGCCATCGCCTTTACCTGAGCCGTCATCATGATCCCCCTCTTGCCCCTGCCCATCCTCATCCTCATCTTCCTCAAACCCCTCGTCAATCTCATTTTTCAAATCCTCCACCTCATCATTGAGCATAGGTGTCTCTGCCCCTTGTGGCCCCCTCATCTCTCTCTCTCGCTGCTCCCTTAGCGGTTCACACAATATGCTCCTGTGGTGGCTGCCCCTACATGCATCACATGGCGCCACACTGGCTGTTGCCTCGGTCTGGGTTGCGGTTTGCATGTTCAAGTGCCCCCGGGGAGTTCGCAGTTCCTCCCGCAACTTACGGATCTGCTTCCGTAGGTCACATGTCTGCCGGTTATGCCCTTTCTCACCACACTTCCCACACTTCCGCAATTTCCTCCCATCAATCTCACCATGTGACCTCAACCTGCGGAGGCAAGGCCGCCCCGCCTTCTTCGGATAGATTGGGGGCAGAGTCCTTCCATCCGGTGTGAATCCCGTCGGGTCAAGGCTGCCGAAAGTGTGGCTGTACACTTTCTTCACTGCCGTTGGAGTGTAGTACGGGGCCACGACATCCATTGCACGTGTGGCATCACCATAAGTTCGGTATGCCGCAAAAACGTGCACACAAGGGAGCCCATACTCACTGCAGAGGGTTTTTTTTTTTGAGGGGGGGGGGGGGGGGGTGGAGGAGAAAGGGAAAACATGAGGAAAGTGGATGATTTCGATGCAGCGGCATGGCTGTAGGGAGAGATTCAGGGAGGAAGGGGATATGTCGTGGGGATGGGTGGAGAATGCATGGGAGAGTTGGTAAGGACGGGGTTGGATGGGGTTCCAAACAGAGCTGCCATTTAAAGAGTCTCACCGTGTGTAGTTGCATGAGCATGCAGTCTTCCTTGGATCCTGAATGTCGATGACAACACGCCTTTGCTCATTCCCAAAGTTGCGGAGCACTTTGTACGAGTCGGTTGTTGCTGTCTGCAGTCAGAGGTTGTGTCTTCTCCACTGAATATGAGGCCCCCCTCCTTTTGTTTTCAGCGATAATCGCAGCCGTTTTCTTTGGGAAGTCGGAGTCATTCAGCCTCCCATACAGCTCGTGCATTGCACATGTTGAGGTGGCCTCCCGCTGGATGAACGCGAACATCACTTGAGCTGGGTTCAACTTCCTTAAGCCCCGCATGGACGCATGATGCGACATCGCAAAAAGTGCAACGTTCACAGATCGTTTTCACCATTCGAGCTCGGGCATAAAGTCGGAAATCGTCCGCCAAGTGTTCGCCAAATGTTTTTTTCTCGTTTCTTTGCACGTAAATGATTCGCGAGTCTTCTGCGGATGGGATGTTATGCGAATGAGTTGTTTTGTGAATGTTACACCTGAATAATAAACATGTTCCCGTGGCTTATATTTGCATAAATGAATGGTTTTTGTACACTTAAACTTCTACAAAGTTTTAAAATTGTGCATAAGTAACTGAAATATAATAATATATAAAATATGTGCAATTTGCCAAAAAAACTAACTGAATCCAACCCCAACCAACTCAACCCATATCTCACACGCTATTCGAGGTTCGGCGAGACCTGTAACCAGGCTGGGTTACGCAGCTCCAATGGGTTGCGAAACCCAGATACCACGTCCTAACCCTATGCACCGTGAGGAAATTGAAAAACCCCCTCGGGCATCAAAAGGGGCCATGCGATTGGTCGAAGCCAAACAACAACAATCGCAAACCCAACCCACAGCCTGCTCCCTCGACAGCAAAAACGACTAAGGGAAAGATGGTAGCAGATCTCGAATTCGGGATCTGTAATTTTCTCGACTTGCCCTCGTTTCCTCCTAGATCCATGCTCATGCGTAGCCATGCTAGAGAGTTGGTAGCGACTTATAAGATGGGATCGAGGCGACACCGACGTCAGGCTAGTGAACGCGGATATCAATTGAGGTTCTTGGCGCGCGTAGCCTAGCCTGGACGAAATCACCAGCGCCTGAAAACAAGGGCAGGAAACAAATGACGAATCCCCCGCTGCTAACGGCCCACCGTTGCTGGCCGCTATAGCTTCCCGCCGCCTTCGATCTCCTCGTACGAAAATGCCACCCGCGGCTTCCCACATCGTGCTATCCCTGTCCTCGCGCTTCCTTGCTTCCCAAATCCCCGCTTCCCGCTTTCGAAAGCACGTCCGCATCTCACCTTCACGTGCTGCAGCATCTCGCTGTCCCTCGCTTCCTTCCACCCGCTTTCACCCGCGTCCCCCTATCGCTTGCTCCCCGAATCCCGCTTTCCCATGCTCCTCGCATTACCTTGCTCCCCGCATTCCAATGCTCCTCGCATTCCCATGCTTCCCTCATTCCCATTTTCCCGGCATTCCCATGTTCCCCGCATTCCCATGTTCCCCGCATTCCCTTGCTCCCCGCATCTCGCTTTCCCATGCTCCCCGCATCCCGCTTTCCCATGCTCCCCGCATTCCCATGTTCCCTGCATTCCCTTGCTCCCCGCATCCTGCTTTCCCATCCTCCCCACATTCCCATGTTCCCCGCATTCCCTTGCTTGCTCCCCGCATCCCGCTTTCCCATGCTCGCTGCATTCCCTTGCTCCCCGCATTTCCTTGCTCCCCACATCCCGCATTCCCATGCTCCCCGCATTTCCTTGCTCCTCGCATCCCGCATTCCCATGTTCCCCGCATTCCCTTGCTCCCCGCACCCCGCTTTCCCATGCTCCCCGCATTCCCATGTTCCCCGCATTCCTTGCTCCCCGCACCCCGCTTTCCCATCCTCCCCGCATTCCCATGTTCCCCGCATTCCCTTGCTCCCCGCATCCCGCTTTCCCATGCTCTCTGCATTCCCTTGCTCCCTGCATTTCCTTGCTCCCCACATCCCGCATTCCCATGCTTCCCTCATTTCCTTGCTCCCCGCATCCCGCATTCCCATGCTCCCCGCATTCCCGTGTTCCCCGCATTCCCTTGCTCCCCGCACCCCGCTTTCCCATCCTCCCCGAATTCCCATGTTCCCCGCATTCCCTTGCTCCCCGCATCCCGCTTTCCCATGCTCTCGCATTCCCATGCTCCCCGCATTCCCGTGTTCCCCGCATTCCCTTGCTCCCCGCACCCCGCTTTCCCATCCTCCCCGCATTCCCGTGTTCCCCGCATTCCCTTGCTTGCTCCCCGCATCCCGCTTTCCCATGCTCGCTGCATTCCCTTGCTCCCCGCATTTCCTTGCTCCCCACATCCCGCATTCCCATGCTCCCCGCATTTCCTTGCTCCTCGCATCCCGCATTCCCATGCTCCCCGCATTCCCGTGTTCCCCGCATTCCCTTGCTCCCCGTATCCCGCTTTCCCATGCTCTCCGCATTCCCTTGCTCCCCGCTTTCCCATGCTCTCCGCATCCCCTTGCTCTCCGCATCCCCTTGCTCCCCGCATTTCTTTGCTCCCCACATCCCCCATTCCCATGTTCCCCGCATTCCCTTGCTCCCCGCACCACGCTTTCCCATCCTCCCCGCATTCCCTTGCTCCCTGCACCCCGCTTGCCCATGCTCCCCGCATTCCCATGCTCCCCGCATTCTCATGCTCCCCGCATTCCCATGCTCCCCGCATTCTCATGCTCCCCGCATTCCTTGCTCCCCGCATCCCGCTTTCCCTTGTTCCCCGCATTCCCATGCTCACCGCTGTCCCATGCCCCCGCTTTCCCATGCTCCCCTCATTCCATGCTCCCCGCATTCCCATGCTCCCCGTGCTCCCCGCATTCACATGCTTCGCGCATTCCCATGCTTCCCACATTCCCTTGCGACCCGCACCCCGCTTGCCCTCGCTAATCCGCTGCTGCCTCTCTCCCCTGTTTCCCGCCACCCGCTTCCCCTAGCTTCCGGCATGCCGCTTTCCCCCGCTTCCTGTTTCTGCCATTCCCCCCTTTTCACATCCCGCTTTCCCCCGGTAGCGACTAGCGCTTCCCGCTTCACCTCGCGGACCGCTTCCCGCTTTCCCTTGCGGGTCGCTTCCCACTTTCCCACGTTGTAACGTGTTACCCGCTTTTTCGCGCGCCGCAATCCCCTGCCTTCTCATTGAATGAAAACAGATAAAGGTTCAAGGCGCAGCAGCAGGGAAGAAAGCGAGGCCGCAGGGATGGGGAAGACAACAGATAGTAGCGAGCGGGAGAGGCGAGAGGGGAGGGAGAGGGGCACGAGAGCAGTGGAGGGGGGAAGGCGTGAGAGCAGGGAGGGAGTGAGGCATGAGAGCAAGGAGGGAGTGAGGCACGAGAGCAGGGAGGGAGTGAGGCATGAGAGCAGGGAGAGAGTGAGGCATGAGAGCAGGCGTGAGTGCAGGGGAGGGAGAGAGGCGTAAGAGTAGGGGAGGGGGAGAGATGGGAGAGCATGGAGGTATGAGGTGCGTGATAGGGGGGATGTGGGAAGGCGCAAGAGCCATGGAGGGAGCGAGAGGTGAGAGAAGGGAAGGGAAAGAGGGGTACGAGTAGGGGAGTGGGGAAAGGGAGAGTGCAGCCCGGAGGAGATGGGGAGGGGAAGAGGCGTGAGGGCGGGGGAGGAAGAGGCGTGAGGGGCATGGGAGGGGGAGAGGGTGTTAGGGTAGGGGAGGGGGAGTGGCGTGAGTGCAGGAGAGTGGGGAAAGATGGATTGCAGTGAGGGTAGGGGGGTAGGAGTGAGAGCAGAGGAGTGGGAGAGGCGTGAGGGCGTGAGAGGCAGGGACAGCTGGAGGAGATGGGGAGGGAAAGAGGCATGAGGAGAGGGGAGGCAGATACGCATGAGGGCAGGGGAGAGGGAGATGCATGAGGGCAGGGGAGGGGGAGAGGCATGAGGACAGAGGAGGGGGAGTGGCATGAAGCAGGGGAGGGGGAGAGGGCAGTAAGTGTGAGCGGGATCCCGGCAGGACAGGCAGTAAACACTCTATAACTAACCCCTCTCAACCCCCCGCCCCCCCACTAACGTATGCCCCCATCTCTTTCTTCCCCCCCCCCCCCCCCCCCTCCCCCCCTCCCCTCCTCCCCGCTCTCTCGCAGCCTACCGGGTGGCACATGATTGCCAGTCAAGCTCACCTTGGACAACCTCTCCGTTAAAAGCCAGACTTCACCCCAAACCTATCCACTCACTCCCCTGTGCATCTCTCAACAAACCACATTCTGTGGGTGATCTCCGTGCGGCCACGCATTCAGACATTCAGCCGTTATTGGCAAATGCTAACCATGTCTGTTCTCTAGCATCATCTACGACGGCTGCAGAAAATGGAAATTATGTAACCCTACATATGTGAACGACACCTTGTAACTGAGTTGGTCCAGGGTTGTAAAGCCAACTTGAATTTTGAGGTCGCAATTTCTCTCCCTCAAGTTTGTTACATTCTTCCTGCCACATATATATGTGACCTTTTCAGGTTATGAATGGCTTGTCGGTCGTTCTGTAAGAGTACATGAACTTGGCACCAATTTTGGCAACAAGAGTAGCTTTTTATCTTTAGCATAAAGTCATATTAGTCTAGATACATTCAGAAAGTCAAGTTCCCATGGAAAGCGATTTAATCTACTAAACAAATCCAAGACACACACTTGAGATATATCGAAAACGTCTTAGCATATATAGTAACAAGTGTTGGCTACAACACCTCCATCCAACCACCAAGAAGGGCGTAGTCCAATGGAATCGGTGCAAAACACGGCTTTATGAAATTTGTGAATACCAAACTGAACCGAATTGAATCGCAAATTACAGCGTGCTATAGAGCGCGCGGATTCTGGGATCCAAAATTTCAGGTCCTATTTGCTTGATATTCGGGTCTGTAGAAACACGCCCCTATTCACAAAATGACGTGCTGACCAATCACACACCCTTTGCCCCCACCCTTCACCTGCAACCGAACCCAACAAAATTTATTCATCCAACTCAGCCCCTGCATCTCGTCCAACCAATCAAAATCTGCCAAGTGGTTCCAGAGCGGCTAATCCAGCTCAACCACCTGCTCGCCCCAACCACCCAGCCCACCACGCTGCACCCCACATGCCAGCACTCCAGCCCACCACACACTTCTGATCCCTTCCTTACTTGCCCCCTTGCGCCCTCTCATGCCTTCCAGCTAGACGTTACTTACAATAATAGCCCTCGGCAGTTCTATCTGCATCAGTTTCAGCTCCCATTCTCGCCTTCGCGCCCCCTAGTGAGCAGCTCCTTCCTCTCCCACAGGCTTCGATTACCATGGTCGTTCTTAGTGTGCCCTATGCTGAGGATCTCGTTTCACGATGGTCTATCGTTTCAAGCAGCTCGTAGGTGACTAGTCTTGTTCACCCATGTCATTCTTATCTGCATGTTCATGAGCTAATGCGCCATTGGGGGGGCGGGAGAGTAAGGAGGGGCGAGGGGGAGGAGGCGGCACGCAGAAGCGGTATCTTCGGGAGGCGGGGCGCCTGGCGGAGTACCTAGATGCGCGCATGGAGGCGGCCACCACGTGCGCGGACGCCAGCAGATGCGAGCACGGTGGTGAAACATCTCTTCCCTTGTTTCGCTTCTCGCCACTGTCCTTTTCCTCTCTCCTGTACTCGTTCCGTCTATGCCCGTCTCGATCCCCCTTTCGTGCCCTCTCTCCCTTTTCGCTCGTCCCAGCTGCTCTTTCTCCCCCTCGCCCCTGGAGCTGTGCTTGCCATGTGTGTGCTTGCCACGTGTGTGCTTGGCGCAGCAGTGGTGCGGCGCGACTCGTGCAGAGAGGCATGGCTAGTAGTGTGTGTGGGAAGGTGGAGGGGGCAGAGCGGAATGGAGAGCATCCGCTCTCGTGCACTCCCCTTCTCACGCGCATGCCCCATCCATCCGTCCATCGTGTGTGCGCTGCAGGTTGGGCGCAGCAGCAGCAGGCCCGAGGAGCAGTGAAGGGGGGCATGCTGGCGCCATGGGTGGAGCGCTGCCAGACGACGTGAGCGCCATGGCGTATGCGCACGACCTGCCACCCAAGGTGCATACATGTGCCTTGCTATATGCATGGCGGTGTGAAGCCATCCCTGGCAGCCCATCCGTGTGCCCTCTGTTCTGCCTGTTGCGTGCCCATGCCACCCCCTTTTGGCTCTTGCACGCCACGCCTCTCCATGCGACCTACCACTCTCCTTGCCTTTACTCACCCCTTTCTTTCACATGGGTGCATGGCATCACATGGGTGCATGGCATCACATGGGTGCATGGCATCACATGGGTGCATGGCGTGGGTGCATGGCATCAGGTGCATCTGTGGCAGCACCACGAGTCTCTCTCCTCACGCCATCTCTCCTCCTCCCTCGCCTCCCTGCACCGTTACTTCGACTACAGGTGAACAGTCATGGCCAGGTGGAGAGGGGGGGGTCATACAGGTGCCACGGATGGGTTGCTGGAGTAGAGAGGCCCATGAGAGGGCATTCGCAGGCACGTGCGAGTGTGGGGGGCAGTGGGAAGGGCCTGCTGCATGACAGGGCAAGGAAGTGTGGGGGAGAGTGTGGCGTTTGCACGTTGATACGTGTGATCGTGTGAGTGTGCTGTGCACGCGTGGCCCTCGTGGTGAGGCGGCCACGAGGAGTGCAGCCGCCACAAGGAGTGCAGCCTCCATTCTGTTCTTCCATGTCTTGTGCGCTCTTCCCCGACTCTTGCGCACACCGTCACTCCACCCTCCCGCTTCCGCCCCCTGCCACCCCCTCCTCTCTCCAAGCAGTGCGGGCGTGACAGCGGTGGGTAGTCGCCCGGCGTCGGAGTGGTGGGCGGGGCGATTCCAGGCGGGGCTGCTGGTGGAGGGCGCCATGCACGCACGATACGGGCACACACAGCACGCCATGGGGGTATGAAGGCATTTGTTACTTGACGTATCAATCAAACTAATGATTCGCATGTGTCCTCACGATGCTTGTCTTTATCGCAGCTAGCTATGTAACTCTGTCCAACATCGAGACAATTCCCCATGTAAGTCCAATTGTAAGTCTCGCTGGTCATTTGATCGTCGGACTAATTTCACAACAATGTCTCATATGACGTGCAGAAATTTGTAGCCTACCACGAGCTATTTCCTCCGGTAAGCTGGCTCTTGTAATTGCTATCATATGGAATATAACTAATTTGATTACAATGTTTGAACCTAATGTGCAGGACTCAATATCCAGCGTCGCGCTACTTCGTTGTTGTAAGCATTGTCCTTATTGTTGGTGATTTCGACCTTGGATTAATTTCGAGATAACAAGTTCTGAACGTAACGTGCAGGAATTCCAATCCAGTTTCAAGAATTGCTGCTCCTGGTGTGCCGCCGCTCAGTTTCTCTTTGTGTTAGTGCGGGACCCACATAGGGGTGCTGGTAGGCAAGGGCGGTTGGGCCATAGTGGTTGTGTACTGTGGTGTAGATGTTTTTTTTAATATATCAAATAATTTGCATGTTGCATTATAAGTAAATCCAAACGAGGCATGCCCTAATTGTACTGAACCATGCCCAAAAGGGTACTGCAGCCTGCAAAAACGGATCCATGAAAAACACCACCAAACGTTTGCAACAAATCATGCTGAATACTAAAAATGGTGAGCATAAACTTCTCTATGCATTTACATGTTTACTGCAAAAGTTGTAGAAAGAACACCGCCATGCATTTGTAAACGAACCACGGAGATTACCGAAAAGACACCTCTAAGCATTCGTTGTCGTGAACCAAAAAGTGTTTCGGGAAATGTTGCCCAAGCATTCGCCAAGTGTTCTGATCTTAGTCCGCCATGAATTTTCACCCACATGTTCGCAAAACGTTTGCAAAGCATTCGCTCGAATGCTACGCAATCGTTTTGCGAGCACACTTTTTTTGCGATGGACTCAACGGGGTTTGATGAGTAGCAACCATAGCGCGGTGCTCCAAACAGAGAGGCAGCCGATTTTAGAGATAGTCCATCCTTCTCCAAAAAGTCCTTCCCCCCAGGACACTCCTCCTCAATCTTGTCCACCGTCCCCCGGTAGACGTCCTTGGTTAGCGCCATGGCGGCTAACTCAATCTTCCCATCCAAAGACGAGCCGAACTTCGAGTTGAAGTTTCGGAACAAATGAGTGATGCAAAGTGCCTCAAAAATCAGAGGCAACATCATCTTCTTTGCAGCTAGCCATGCCTTTCCACGATCGTGCATGAGAGTGAAATATGGGGTGTTAAGCTCAGGGATGGCCTCCAGCAAGATCTGAAGGAAGTAACCGCATGACTCTGTGTTCTCGCCCTCTACCCAGGCACTCCCTAGTCTTACCAGTTTGTGCTCGCAGTCCACCAGGACTGCATTGAGCGTGTGGCCACGCCATTTTCCCTTGTTGTGGCACCCGTCCACAAAAACAATGGGAAAGCAATGGACTGCGGCCACTCGCGCACCCGGATACGTGAGCCCCGCACGATGAAACCTATTCCCCTTTCTCACCAGAGAAACAACAACAGTAGGATTCTCCACCTTGAATGACTGAAGGATGCTCTCGACATACTAGAACCCCTTGTCGCCCCCTATCGGATCTTCCTCTTCAACCTCCTTAATAGCACGGTCAGCCGTTGAGTAGGAGCAGTCAGTAGCTAGACACTCTCGCACGAGCTGTTGAAGACCATGTGGCCTCAACACACCATGCGGAACATAAGCCCTTGTGATCAGTTTTGCTTCCTCCTTGCTCACTCCATCGGGACCGCTAGCGCACCTATCAGCATGCTTCAGACAAGCTTCCTTGACACTGAATCTGCATCCCCTAGGGCCTCTAGCTATGACACGGAAAGGACAGAAGCCTGGCTGAGGCTCTTCCCCATCTGCAGGCCACCTTTCGCCTTCCATAGATTTGCATCGTGCATCGATGCGCTCAGCCGTGTTGTGGCGAAAAAACGTTGTAAAGCCATTATGGCGGGCATAATTCCTGATAGTAGTCCTTGCATCCTCCATACAGGAGAACACAATCCCTACAGATAGCTCAATCCCACTCTGCCCCTGTGGTGAGAAGGGGCTGTAGGGGTGGAAACACGGGTGTTTTGGAGGGAGGTGGAGACAAGGGGGCGATGCGGGAAAGCAGAGATGGGGAAGGGCAGCAATGAGCAGAGATGGGGAAGGGCACCAATGAGCAGAGATGGGGAAGGGCAGCAATGAGCAGAGATGGGAAAGGGCAGCAATGAGCAGAGATGGGGAAGGGCAGCAATGAGCAGAGATGGGGAAGGGCAGCAATGAGCAGAGATGGGGAAGGGCAGCAGTGAGCAGAGATGGAGAAGGGCAGCAATGAGCAGAGATGGGGAAGGGCAGCAATGAGCAGAGATGGGAAAGGTCAGCAATGAGCAGAGATGGGGAAGGGCAGCAATGAGCAGAGATGGGGAAGGGCAGCAATGAGCAGAGATGGGGAAGGGCAGCAGTGAGCAGAGATGGGGAAGGGCAGCAGGTAGCACAAACGGGGCGAGGAGGGACGGCTTGCATCTGCTTGCACGTTATGGTAAGGTGTGTGCGGAAAGGGCATGATCGGAGACACAAGAAGACACGAGCGGTCCTAGGGAAACATGCATTGTGGCATCCAGGAAGCTTAGGTTGTTCACACACTACACTGTGCTAATCTTTTTATATGCCTACCACGATGATGTGTGCATTGTGTTCAGTAGACCTTACCTTGTGTGCGGCATGCCGAACATTAGCAGTAAACCGGCCCCGCAGCCCACTGCAGGACCATGTCCTCTTAAGAAACGGAAGAGAGGCAATGAAGGAATGTTCTGCCCTGGGATGCACACGTAAGACGGGGTCAACCGTGGGGTCGTGGGGAGTGAGGGGATCGAAGAGGTGCCTCGAGGGCACAGGGAAGCCGGGATGGCTATTCTTAATTCGACGAATCAGGAGAACCAGGTCAGTTACCGACTCGAGAAGAAACACGTGGGTTGGAGTTTATGAATGAACAAATTGGCACGGGATCGAGGACTAAGGCACGGGCCCCAAGGGGGGAGGTACGGAATCGGCTTGGAAGAGTAACGGTTGAGTTTGGCAGCTTAAGGGGAAGAATGGTAGACATTGATGAAGGGGCCGACATGGGCGGGATGGTGGGGTTACGAAGAATGGCGGGATGGAATGGCAGTGGTATGAGGAATAAGGGGTGGAATGGTCGGAATAGGCGGAACTATGGGGGGAACGGCGGGGATGGGAGTGGGGGGGGACGGTAGGGATAGACGGAATAAGTAGAGCGGAATGGTGGGGAAAGGACAGGGGGGGGATGGCGGTAGGGGCGGAATGGTAGGGATATCATGCGGAATAAGGCAGGGGGGGAGGGGGGGAGTGGGAAGGTGGGGATAGGCGGATTAAGGGGGGGTATAAGGGGCTTTCGGTGGCGATCGTCAAAGG